CACCACTTTTCTGTTTTATATCGTCGTGAATTAAAGATTTCTTTTTAATTTTGGGCTGTTGGTCAGATAAAACTAAATATCTAAAGACATTATCTCTATCTACAAATCATTTCCCGACACTACAGACTAATAAAAGAAGTGAACTAATAATAATGAATAATTATTTTAATTAATTAATTAATAATAACACATTTCTTTATACATGAGTTCTTTCTGTATGACTGGATTGATCTGTGGAGGAACAATAATACGGATATATAAGAGTCAGAAACACAAACACACACAGATATAAAAGCTGAAAGTTGACCAATATGAACATTTATTTCTGGAAAGAAGTTACAAATCGTTTCCAAAGAGTTTCTACTCAGATTATAAGATATGTTAATCTGATTTTACTTTCTTTTTCGGATACAGTCGTTGTAGCAAGGTATGTTTTTTTTTGTTTTGTTTTTTAAAATCCTCTATTCTGTTTTCCTAACTGACAGACTGAAGACGTGGTGGACTAAAGGATGCTGCTATGACTGAATGTGCCTCAAATCAGGACAGTAGTACTTTATCGGTTACACGTTTGTTCTTTTAACAGCAACATGAGAGGAGGAGGAGGAGGAGGAGGAAGAGGAGGAGCAGCGAGAGGACTGCAGAGTGGCAGATGTGATGTAGATGATATCAGCTGCAGACTACAGTGACACATATAAAGGGACGTGGAGTTAAAGAGGCCAGTTCCCCAACCAGACCGGCCTCAGGGTGAGCAGGGCTGTGGTCTGTGGTTATTCTGAAGGTTTCCGACTTCAAACATTAGAAGGGACATTAAAAACAAACTGGAATAGGGGAAGAAAAGCAGTTTTAGGTATAAAAAAAGTGAACAGATCTGAATAATAAACATGTTTAACGGCAGGAAAAATGGGAGGAAATACAGTTTGAAAGCAAAAATAGTTTTAGTTTGAACAATTCTTTTCATTTAGCTTCAGTTTACCAGGTTTTTATTGGCTTATGCTGCTTTAAATGACTCTAACCAAGGGTTTAACCTGAGCCAGTCAACAATGATAGCAATTATACAGGCTTAGCAGTATGTGCTAATAATAATGATAACATAAAATTAATATATAATATACATACATTTTGTAGTAATATGTATTCGATTGGCCGATCAGAGTTGGTAGGAATGCTTCTGGAACATCTTTAGAGTAATGGCTGTGTATTAGAGCTGCAATGATCAGTCAATTAATCAATAAGTCTATTAAAATTAAGTCAATCTGCAACTATTTTGATCATTTTAAAGTAAAAATAAACATTTGCTGGTTCCAGCTTCTCAAATCTAAAGATCTTTTGAGTTCTGGATTATTGATCCAACGAAACAAAAAGACATTGTCCACTTTTATTTGACATTTTATTGACTAAACAATTAATTGATTAGGAAAATAATCGCCAATGCATCTACTGTATTTCCTCGAAAACATTTTTCCCACCGTCAAGTCCACAGTGAGAAACACAACTTCTCACCACTGAGGAGGCGTCAACGTGGGGGAATTTACACAATCTAAGATTCCTACCCCCCCAATAAACAAACCCCAGTGGCATCTGGAGGTCTGTGTGTGGACAGCAGGGACATCGTTGATACAAAGAGCCATTAATTAAAGGATAACACCGGATTTTCTTTTCATATCAGGAAGAAAATTGAAGTCTGATTCCCCCCAAAAAACATGCTGCCTACAATTTGTATTAAAGAAATGATGATTGATCTGCTGAATGAGACTTTTTGCATACAGGAAAATGTAAAGTTGGGGTAAAAATGGGGCTGTAATTGTTAAATAACACCAGTAACCTTCCTTTTAAAACTGTACCTGCAATCTGGTCAGTGTTCACTGGAAGAAAGACTCAAAGCATCCATTCATTAGCCACATGCAGTGCTGCTGAGGAGGACGGGACAGACGGCTCGAGGATGAAAACAGGAGAAGACGACAAAAGTACAATTTTGAAAAAAACAACACGATTCACAATGAAAATGCTTGTCATAATAAATAACCCTAGTTCTGTTACTGCATAGCTCGGTGAAAGCAATACTTCAGAAAATAAATAACTTAAATACGCGGCCGACATACAGAACTGCATCAGTATGTGTTCTAGCCCTTTTCACAGTTGGCTCATGGGAAATAAAAAAATAAAATTAAAAAAAAGAAATATAAATATGTAGAGAGGACCAGGTGAGAAACGAGGAGCTGGTAATCGAGCAGGGCGTGCTGGGCTCCAGGATCAAGGCGTTGAGCTGCTTGGATGTGAAAGCTATTACAGTACATATGACAGAAGAAATATTGAACCGGCTAAAAGAAGTGACGTGACTGAAGAACTCCAGGTGACTCTTCAATGTCTGAAATTAACACAGCTGACTGCAAGAGGCCGGTAAAAGTTCAGCTTTGGTTCACATACTGGCAAAAAAATTAAATAAATAAAATCATCCTAAAACACTGGCTGGTCATTGGTTGAGCCTCGGTTACGCTGAGCTCAGGCGGTTGGATTCAAACACACACAACCTGGTTTTTGTACGTGAGGAAGATGAAATGTGAAGAGCAAACTACAGAGTAAACAACGGGCCTCACGCAAGAAGCACTCGTACAAAAAGATCCGTCCTGTATGAGAGATTTAAAGAGAAAAAGAAGATCACCGGTGGTCCCGACTGTTAGAGAGTCTCCCCACAACACACTCGTTTAACCGGAGCTATAATTTACCGGTAAGGCTCAGTATCGACACATTTAAACAGGTTTATTCCTCCTTTTTTTTAAATGAAGCAGGGCTCATGATGAAGTGTCTTTATGGGATACTCCACACTGTTCTCACCACATCTTTTCATGCTGTGGTCTCAGGTGAACTGACGACACTTTATTACAGTTCAAATCAAGTAGAATTATTATTTCATAGCAAATTCTTCTCACCTATTAAAGCCTAAGACTGATCGCTGTGCGTGTTTATTGAGCACCAGAACAAATGGCTGTATGTATGAAGATATGACCAAGTCTGTTTCACTCCACATCAGGTGTGAACAGCTACACTGACTGAGAAGGAAGCATCGGATAAACCTGCTTTAAAAAGTGTCATACTCAGAGTTTAACCTACCGACAGCCGGGTTTCAAACAAAATACACACCTAGGTTTGCATAGGTGCACAACACACATTATTTCCAGCATATTTGGTCAGTTTAATCAAGCTCCAGCTGTTTCCATGATTGGAAAACTCGTCTCTAAATGTACAGATATTCCAGGACGTGTGTGTGAAACCTGATCCACGAACGGATCAGAACCAGCAGCCTTCTAACGATCGATCACCTCGTCTCAAACAGGTGAACGCTCGTTTCTTCTGAAACTAACTACGACAAGTTTGCACAGTTAAGAGCAACAACGTGACAGAAGAAAATAACTTTAGGTTGAGAAGAAAATGTTCTTGCGTGAGGCCCAACGTGTGTTAAACATATAATCCAGCTGCATATGTGAGAGTGGGAACGGTTCAGGTTCAGCCAGGACATTAATTTCAGACACTGTAACATTACAGCATGTTGTAACACTACAGCTGCTTTGTGAAGTTTAGCTGGTAAAACTGTGCATTTACACCCCGAGAGTCGCAACAAGAACCAATAAAGTGCAAAGGGAATGTAGACGAGAGTGAAATAAAGCACTGCCAGTGACTAGACGGATACAGACAACATCCTTTGACCTTTGAGTCCCTGTCACATCGCTGAATGAAGGATGAGCCCTCGTGTACCATGTAGTGTTATGTTTTCCTCTCAACCTTGGACTCAGCTCTCTCACACACACACACACACACACACACACTCTCAGACAGAGGAAGGAGTGGGGGGGGCACAGAAAGACACGGTGATGTTATATGAACATGAGCACAGTTATGGTGGATATCTGGGAGTAAAGAGCAGAATTGGGACTAAAAGCTGGAACGCACTGGAAGCGAGAATCTGTGAGTGTGGCGGGTTGACAGCTGGTTAGCAGCTGGTTAGCAGCATCTGTAACAACATGGTGTCTGTTTGAGGGGTCTCTCTCTACAGTCTGCTTCGTATACTTGGATACAGGCTATAAAATGAGCTACACTACAGTATATAGTGTTCATATTTTGTTTATATACCTAATTGTATGCTTTAAACTGGCTGTTATATATCTTATAGGGCTTTTTTTCTCTTTGTTTAAAATAGCCGCAGTCGTTCACTAATTGATTAACGATATACAGGATGCTTGTTTGCCTTTAAATAGGTCAACAGACGCTATGAAAGCAAAGAAACCTAATTCAGATACGTTTGTGATCCAGGTTTCGTTTGAGAGTGAAATCCGATAAATACAGGTCAGGACTGTAAATGTAAATGAGTCTGAAGCTTCCAGTGCGTTTCTGCAATAAGCCTGACTGGACAGCCTAAATACAGTAGGTGAGTAGTAGAATAGGAAACTGACCACAGTCCAAACATAAACCAGCAGAACTTGTTTTTTTTTCTCCCCACAAAAAAAATTTCTTAATTTTTCTGAGAAAGCTAATTCTGAAAGTGTTCAAGCTGACTGTTAACATGTGACGTCTCGCCACGCTTCCATTGGCTTCATTGAGAACAGCAAAATCTATGGCCCGGCCATCTTTTCCTCACCTTAGGTAAGTGCTGGTCTCTAGATTAAAAGCCTGCGCATCAGTAGAGTCTCCCACCTGTAAACACCTGATCTCCCAGTGGGAGACTTCAGTCCTTGAACAGTGCATTCCCATTTCTATAAAAAGGAGGCTTGTTGTGGAGCAGACCTCAGCTGCAGCGTCTGACGTGCTCTAGCACATACTCTGGGAAGTGCAGACTGCACACCTGCAGACCGTCCAGTTTGCAAGGCATCCTGGGATACTCGTCCTCCTTCCACTTGTTTTCATCGGGGTCGAAGGTGAGGATGGAGTCACTGTAGTGGCCGTTGTAACACAGGCCGCCCAGCACCATGATCTGCCTGTCCAACACCGCCACCCCGTGGCCGCTGCGCCCAATGGGCATGGAGGCGAGGATGGTCCACTCGTCGGTGTCCGGGTCGTACACCTCGGTGGACGGGCAGCCCTGCGACTCAAAGGAAGCCCGCAGGATCACGCACACGCCGCCGAACACGTACAGCTTCCCGTTGTGAGAGATCATCTTGTGGAAGCAACGGGCGTAGTTCATTTTGGATTTGTTCTCCCAGCAGCTGGCGTGGGTGCCGGGCAGCAGCGGGCCTCGACCGGCGCGTGTCCTGTGTGCGTCTGACCCGCCCGAGCTGCCGCCACCTCCTCCTCCTCCTCCCCCCCGCCTCCCGCTTCCCGCCCCGGATCGAACACGCACACCTGTTTGGAAGTGGAGGAGGAGGTGATGCCGCCGGTGATGTACAGTTTACCGTTGAGGACCGTTCCCTCGTGGCCGTACTTGTTGACAGGATACGGGTCCACGAACTCCCAGCGGTCCTCCGTGATGTCATAGCGCTCCGTGGAATAGAAGGTCTCGTCTCGCGTGCGGCCCGCTACGGCGTAAATGAACTTGCCGATGACGCCCACGGCGAACTCTGACCTGCAAACAACAAACGCCATGAGTTAATAATCCAGTCACATAAAGTTGTCACGGTACGACGAACACCGAGAGCTTCAGGCTCCTCTAACCTCGGCACGGACATGTCGGCCATGCGTAGCCAGGAGTTCTGTCGAGGGTCGTAGCGGTAGACTTTGGAGGAGGCGTGAAACTCTCCGTCGGGCCCCAGCTCCTCGCCACCCAACAGGAAGGCAAAGTTGTTGACGATTGCCAGGCAGTCGGGTCGCAGCGGCACCTGAGGTCCCTCCAGCTCCCACCACACCTGAGGGATTAAAAGACGGGTTACTGAACCGGAGACAGACACAGACGTCCTGAAGTTTCTGGACAAAACCAAAAACAATACTTTCTTCATTAACATGTTTCCCTACAAAATATCCTTTGACAACATTTGATTTAAATCAGAAACACTCAGAAAAAAAAGTTATTTATTCACTCCCTAAAACACTCTGAGCTCTAACAGCAAGAGTAGAAAGGTAACTTCCAGCAACAGCAGAATCCCAACATTATTTCTATTTTACTGCTAAATTTACTACAAACTGTTAAACACACCTTTATGTGCCTCCAGTAAAACCCAGGAGCCTCGTCTTAACACACAGCACTGTGAGCCACCTCACCCCGAAAAGGCACAAACAAATAAATCAAACAAGCTAAAAAAAACGGCTACTTGGATGGGAGGAAATTCTGGTCCACAGTAATGACATAAAAACATCTGTACTGTCCTTCAGCAATGGCTGTTATAACTGCAGGTACATCGGCTTTGTGCGTGCCCTCTTCTAAAAAGGTCAGAGTGACTGAAAGTCTACTGGATTTCACAGAGAGAGAGTTATAAAGAACAAACATCACGTGTGCTGTCGTAGGCAGAAAAGCGAGCAGAGACCTTTGGCCGCTGCAGCAGGAGGATCTTGCTGTTGACCATACTGTGACCGATCATTCCCCTGAAGACGGCGGTCTGCGGGCGGACGGAGCGGATGCGGTTGGAGCGCGTCTCCACCAGAGGCTGCTGGTTGACATCGTGGAAGTAGCTGAGCGCCTGATCGACCTCCTGCCTCAGCTGCCGGGAGTAACGGTAAAACTCTGACGTCTTCACCTGTGAGGAGGAAGAGGAGGACGGAAGACGGATTCCATCAGTAAACTCTGACTCTCACCCTCAGCTGCCTGAAGAGGAAGCAGAAACTCACCTTCTCAAAGATGTTGGCAGGAGTCATGAGGCAGAAGCGGATGGACTGGACGATGGTGTCGGTGTGCCTCCAGCGCCGCCGGTCGTGTCGCAGCCACGCCTGGACAGCTTCATACAGCTCGATTTCTGGGAAGCGACTCAGAGCGTCGCTGTTCAGGTACGCCTGGAGGAAGAAAGACATTTAGAAACCCGTATCATTGGTTGACCTGTGAATGTGTAATGGTTTGTCTGCCAGAGACATTTGTTAGCTCTAAAATGTCACAATTTATCTGACTAATTAGTGAAAGCGTTCCAGAAAGTGTTTGTATTTACAGTTCTAACTCGCAACCTGCTGCGTTACGCGTACAAACGACAACCGAACCTGCAGTCTCTCGAGGCTGAGGTAGGACAGGAAGTCGGGTCGGCTCATGAGGGGAACAAAGTTGTCAAGTAGGAAGTTGTCGAGTTGCTCCTGGACGCCCTCCACGCCCACGCTGAAGTCCTCCAGGAGGCGCATGACCTCCGCGCAGTTCTCCAGACAGATCTTGGCCAGCAGGAAGGAGCAGCAGAACTCCACCGCCTCCGTGAGCTGGACGTACATGGCCGCCTGCCGGGAGACAGGAAGGGAGGAGAGGGGGGAGGAAACGGAGGAGGTGTGTTTGAGAGTGTGTGATGAAAATGAAGAGGATAATCAGTCCCGGCCAAAATGGAAATACCTGAAGGATCTCTTGGACAGTGGGCATGCTGAGCTCCAGGGAGCCGTAGTACATGAATCGGAGAATGTGGCCGAACCCCGCGGCTGTCAGCCCCTTCATGTGGATCTTGTCCTGGTCCCTCTCCCTCATGTCTGCTGTGAACATGACCCGGAAGTAGTCGCTCTGGGTGGCCAGAAGCGCCTTGTGGGCCTGCAGGAGGACGGAGACATAAAACGACAGAGTTTCTGTCACCCAGCCCTGATCCAGGACCCCGTACCTTACGTGTGTGTGTGTGTGTGTGTGTGTGTGTATTCGGGTCCGTTTGTGTACCTGGAAGTGGTGCTCCTCTATCAACAGTGTGACATCCAGCAGCAGGCGCTCCTCGTAAAGCGCCCGGAAGCCCGACGACACACTCCCATCGTGCACCTGGGACAGGTACACCTCCACATCTGCCCCCGACATAACACACCTGGAGGCATGAAGGAGAGGTGCAGGAGCAGGTGGGAGAGACGGAGACAGGGTAATGTAAAAAAGAAAGTCAGAGTGTCAGAACAGGTCACAACAGTGAACTTGGCTGCAGCTGTTTGGTGCCAACACAAAGCAGGGATGGAGTAGAATTAACAAGTATTTTAAAAATGAATTCAGCAGCCACAACACTGCGAGCCTCTCCGAGGAAAAGACTGTGTGTGTGCGTGCTGCTGAAAACAGTAAGTGGGGACTGGAAGGGCATTCAATAGGACGTTCAGCATTAAAAAGCTCAGCACTTCAGCTGCTGCATCCTAACGAGCCGTTACTCTTTCTGTGCTGACACACCGGGGAAATACCCTGCGCCAATGCAACACACAATAAAAGAGAGGAGATCCTTTAAAAATGCATTCCCACGTGTCAGTTCATCCAGTTTCTACAGCATGAAAACACACAGTCTTACACACACACACACACACACACACACACACACACACACACACATCACAAAGAGAAACACAGAAAACATTTTCAAAAAGTATTTTTACCGACTTTCTGCACAGAAGATAAAGTAGTAAACACAAAACACACAGTCGCTCATTAAGAATGCAAATGAAAACAAACACACACACACACACACACACACACACACACACACACACACACACACACACACACACACACACACACACACACACACACACACACACACTCAGCACACTCACCTCTGATTGGCCACGGGCATGTCAGAGGGGGTTGTCCGAGCCAATCAGAGGACAGTGCCCCTTGTGTCCAGTAGATGCTAACAATGTCCCTTTTTCTGAGCGTCAATCACCTGGACGACAAAGTCAACACAACCGCCACATTAAAAGCACGAACGTCTGCACGTTAAATAACTTTTTCATCGCGGCACAAAAGTATGTGGACGCCTGGACATTACACCCTTGTGTGACAGTTCACGTGAACAAGGGTCCACATAGTTTTGGCCGTGATGTTGTATTTCAACACAGGGAAAAAGAAAAGTCTCTTCACTTCTTAAATATTTGAGTATAAACAAAACAAAAAGTGGAGCAAAAATAGTGTTAAATGCAGGAAAATGAAGTCCTCGTGAAGTTTATTACAGCTTCTACATCAATATCAGTGCTAACGACATTGTACTTAACTAGTTAATTGATCACATCAGCTAAAAGAAGTCGAGGAAAGTCGAGCAGTCAGACAATCTGAGACGTTGGAAACAAACCTCCAGGTTAAACATCCGTCACAGTTTACAGACTTCCTGATTCAACTTTGACCCACTGCGCTTACCGTACACACAGTTTTTCCTGTACAATGAGGGATTATCGTCAGTTTCTCCTCCAGATGAAGTTGGTTCTGATAATCTGGATAAACTGTTGGTCTGTTTACAATCTGAGCGATCGTCTGACTGCACGTGTCGGACTCTCTGTTATTAGTTTGGTTGGAACGACGATTAATGAGACTAAACTGGAATTATTATAAAGGGATTTAAAGACTAAATGTAGGAAGGAAACACTTTTCTGGACTAATCTAAGAGCGGGACAGGAAAGTGTGTCTTTACTATACTGTAATAAAACAATACCCATCTGTTAATAACAATGAATCTCCTTTACTTTAACTAGAAACAAGAGCAATGTGATACCTTGGTGACCTTCATCCTACGTATATAACATTAGTCAAAGAGCTGTTAAAGCTGCAGCAGGTCACTTTTCTTTTGTCCTATTCGCTGAAACGTTTCATTATATATCCTGACAGAAGTACACGAGACAGATAACGGACGGGTAAGATGGAAGCTGAGACAGAAAAGAGAGGTTGGAGTGAATCGTACCTTTTGGAGCCCGGGCGAACGATCACAGGCTTCGACGGCTGAGCGCTAAGGGGCCGCTCGCATTTCCTGTGTTTATGTTTCCCTGGTTCTAACAGAGGAGAGGAGAAAAGACGAGAGTGACATTGAACGTTACACGACACATTCAGGGGGTTGAAGGTTATGAGTGAGCAGCTGTGATACAGACACTGAGGCAGAGAATCGTTTTTTAAAGGTTCAAGGAAATGACGGGTTTTCCTTGTTCGTTAGTAGAGGTGTAATTAATATTTAATTAATACTTAATTAATCAATTAGTCTATGAAATGTCTCAGCAGTTCTCTTGAGATATAAAAAGCAACTCCTCACATTCAAAAACCAAATTTTCTGGCATTTTTTGTTGATAAAAGACTGAAACTATAAAGTTGTTGTCAAATAATATACATATTCTACTGACCTTAACTAATTAATTAATTGATTAATTGTCTCAGCGTTAGTTATTTTACCTGATCAACCGTTCAATCCAAAAGTTTCAAGTTACACCGACACGATCAAACAGACAAAAGTAATTAACCTGCTCAATATAAAATATAAGTAGCATAAAGAAGAGAATAAACTTTATTTATTGCTCTAATGTTGTGATAAGATTTACTATCAGAGTTCACAGTTTCCTCTCAGGAAGTCTCAGCCTCTGACTGACCTGAGCTCGACTCTCGGTGGAAAAGGAAAAACAACAACAGGTTGTGTGTGTGTGTGTGTGTGTGTGTGTGTGTGTGCGCTGCAGCCGAGCTCACCTGACAACAAGCGCTTTACTACCCCCCCCAGCAGCTCACACACACACAAACATTAGCAGAAGGGTTAAACTTACTAACCACCACAAAAACAACTAAAGGAAACAGAACATGTGCTCGATGTTCGACATCTGAGGCTGAGACACTTCCTCCTACAGTGTAAAACATCCCATAATATAAAGGAACATTTATTTTAAGAGCTCTAGGAGAAGGATCATTATTCTTCTTTAAATTAATATTAGTACTTTGCTTATTACTCCCTGGCAACAGTAATTATTTACACTACTAGTAGTACTACAAAAGTGATCTTAGTGGGATTCAAACTGTGGGAAATAATATTAATATTGTTAATATTATTAATATAGGCAGCTAATAAAGGATGTATTAACTTTAGTGCTATAATATTAACCCTGTCTATAGTCTATATATCCTCTAAACTACACTGCAGTTATATGTACACTATAAAAACTATTTGTTTTATATCTTGTATTTAATTTAATGTGTGTTTTCTGTATGTGGAGCTTTTCCTCCCTCAGTGTGGGATCAATAGAGAGAGAGAGAGACAGAGAGAGAGAGAGAGACAGAGAGACAGACAGAGAGACAGAGACAGACAGAGAGACAGAGAGACAGAGAGACAGACAGACAGAGAGAGACACAGAGAGACAGACAGAGAGACAGAGACAGACAGAGAGAGAGAGAGACAGAGAGAGACAGACAGAGAGAGAGAGAGAGAGAGAGACAGACACAGAGAGAGAGAGAGAGACAGAGAGAGAGACAGACACAGAGAGAGAGAGACAGAGAGAGAGACATAGAGAGAGAGAGAGAGAGACAGAGAGAGAGAGACAGAGACAGAGAGAGAGACATAGAGACAGAGAGAGAGAGACATAGAGAGAGAGAGAGAGAGAGACAGAGACAGAGAGAGACATAGAGAGAGAGAGACATAGAGAGAGAGAGACATAGAGAGAGAGACATAGAGAGAGAGAGACATAGAGAGAGAGAGAGAGAGACAGAGAGAGAGAGAGACAGAGAGAGAGACAGACATAGAGAGAGAGTGCTAACAATGTAGCTCCTGTAAGTAAATACAGCGGGTGGTTAGCTCCGCAGCTAGCTCCGCGGCTAACACCGCAGCTAGCTACCAGGCTAACCCCGAAAACTGTCACGATTCTCGGCAGCGGTGCCAGCAGCTCCCGGGGCTGAGGACCAGACACAGCTTTAGCTTAGCGGCTAACATCCCTCCGTCTCACCTCGGCGGCGCGAATCCCCACAACCCCTCTTCGACCAGGCAGCTCTGGCTCCTTCGGACATGAAGTTGCGGGTTCGATGCCGGACTCAAGAAAGCGTACGGCAGCGGTGCACTGCCATGTTATCGTCCATCTGCCAGACGAAGAGAAGCCCCCCCCCCCCCGCCGGACACTGCTCTAAATTAAACGGGTAACAAACCACAGCGGTCCACAGGCTTCGCGGACGCCATCTTCTGCACCGGCGTCATTTCCCTTTTGGGGCGGAACTGAAGGGCGTAGCGCGCCGCAGCGAAGATCGTCTGTGTGAGGGATGTGTCACTACCGGAAACTACCGGAAACTACCGATCACTATCGGAAACTATCGGAAACTAACGGTCACTAACGGTCACTAACGGTCACTGGCAACCGTGGTGGGACAAAACGGTGTCCTCAAAAAGCTTTTTATCATAATTACAGTTTTATATAGATAAATATTGATTAAACAGCTCAATATAATTATTAATTAATTAATTCAAATTATTGATTAGGCATCTCAAAATATTGATTAAACATGTAAAAATAATGGAAAACTTTCTCAGAATATCTCAAAATAATAAAAAAAAATGTTCTCAAATTATTTATTAAGCATCTCAAAATACTGATTCAATTATTGATTAAGCGTCTCAGATTTTTGATTAAACATATACAAATAATGACAAACTTTCTCAAAATAATTAGAAACTTTATCAAATGATCTCAAAATAATGACAAATTTTCTCAAAATATTGATTAAATATCTCAAAATAATTAGAAACTTTATCAAAATATTGATTAAATATCTCAAAATAATAAGACATTTTCTCAAAATATTGATTAAACATTTCAATATAATTAGAAACGTTATCAAATTATTGATAAGGTATCTCAAAATATTCAAATCAAATCAAATCCAGTTTATTTGTATAGCCCTTTACAATAGCCGAAAGGTACCCAAAGCGCTTTACAACAAAGCCATGAAACAATACATAACACATATATAACATACAAATACAATTAAAAGTGCTGTAGTGCTGCAGCACTGCAGGGTATTAAAAGCCTTCCAGAAATGCACAGAAAGGAGCAGATAAAAAGAGTACACCTAAGAGACAGTACTGTCCTATTCAGAATTAAATGCTAATCTAAAAAAGTGGGTCTTAAGCTTCGATTTAAAAAGGCCGAGATCAGTAGTGGTGTGAATGTCAGGGGGCAGTCTGTTCCACAGTCTAGGAGCAGCGACGGCAAAAGAACGATCGCCCCACTGTTTAAGTCTGGACCTAGGGACCTCTAACAGAAGCTGACCCGAAGAGCGCAAGGCTCTGCCACAATTGCGAAAAGTTAAAATCTCTGACAAGTAAGAGGGGGCCAAGCCATTAATGGTGTTAAAAACAAACAACAAAAGTTTAAAATCAATTCTAAAACGGACTGGAAGCCAGTGGAGTGATGACAGCACAGGAGTAATATGTTCACGTCTGGACGTGCTAGTTAAAAATCGGGCAGCAGCGTTCTGCACAAGTTGGAGACGAGAAATTGAGGACTGACTGAGGCCGACGTAAAGGGCATTACAGTAGTCCAGTCTTGAGCTGATAAAAGCATGGATTGCCTTCTCAAGATCCTGCCGACTGAGAAAAGACTTCACTTTGGCCAAAAGACGGAGCTGAAAAAAGCTCGTACTGACAACAGAGCTAATCTGTTTGTCAAATTTGAGCCCAGTATCAAATGTTACCCCAAGATTTTTGACATGTGATTTAAAAAGAGGGGCCAGAGTGCCAGAATTTGTGGTGAGAGCATTCGACTTAGCTGGTGAACCAAACAAAATGCATTCAGTTTTGCTGTCATTTAAGTGCAAAAAGTTCTGTGACAGCCACTGTTTTATATCTGTGATGCAGTCCAGCAGTTTAGTAAGTGCAGTGTTTTCGTTTGGTCTCATGGGCAAATATATCTGCAAATCATCGGCATAAAAGTGAAAAGACAGGTTGTGTTTTTTTATAATTGATCCCAGAGGTAGCATATACAATGAAAACAGAATAGGGCCGAGAATAGATCCCTGTGGCACCCCACAGGGCAGCGATGCATTTGAGGAGCAGTGGTCACCAATTGAGACAGAGAAACTCCTGTTTGCCAGGTATGACCTAAACCACTGGAGAGTGGATTGATTAAACATATAAAATAATGGAAAACTTTCTCAGAATATCTCAAAATAATGACAAATTTTATCAAATTATCTCAAAATATTGATTAAACATCTCAAAATAATTAGAAACTTTATTAAAATATCTCAAAATGACGAATTTTATCAAAACATTGATGAAGAATCTCAAATTATTGATTAAGCATCTCAGATTATTGATTAAACATGTACACATAGTGAGAAACCTTCTCGAAATAATGACTTTGTGATACTCAGTCATAATGATTATAAATAATTTTGAGATACTAAATCATTATTTTTATACGCTTAGTCAATATTTTGAGAAAGTCTCTCATTATAATGACTTATTGAAACCAAATCAGAATCAGAAACACTTTATTGATTTGTTACGTCACAGTTGCTCAAGATGCTCGCAAGACATTAAAGAAAATAAATAATAATAACATAGAACGTTAAAATGATGTATTATATTAAAATACATAAAAATAAAGAATAAGTCTGAAATATGTCCATTATAACACAATATGTGACTATAAATATATAGAAGACAGAATGATGTGTTTGCTAGAGTATATAACAGAAGTGTAATGAACAGTAATGAGAACTAATAATGTTAATGTTCAATTAGTAACAGAATAAAATAATTATTGATCACTTAAAATCAATAATGTGGTGGAAAGTACATTAACTGACGTTACTTGTGCTTTACTGTCTGCTACTAATCGATATTTCTACTCCACTACACTACTAATACTCGTAGTTACTTTACAGATCCCGTTTTCCAGCGTACACATTACAGAACTACAAAACACTTAAAAGGACTACATAACCCCCCGATGATGGCGTCACCAAACCCCGACGGACCTGACACATGGATAATAATATGTGTTTCCTTTATGGAGGAGGAGAAAGTGAATTATAAACCTGCTCTCGGTTCGGTAATAAAGAGTTATTAACTTAATATAAACAGCAGCAGCTTGTGGTCGTTGTATTAAAACAGTTTAACGCTGAGAAATAAATTGCATCAGCCGTTGAGGAAGGACCCCGATGAATCACGCGAGTTAACAAACCACGTCTTTTAGTCAACTGTGTCAGCGATTAATAAACATTTAACCGACGTGTCGTTTTAAACGTGCGATCTTTTCTACCAACGCCACAAAAAGCAAAGCAGCATTTTTTTAATTTAATTGCTGACTGCTTGAAAAGAGAAAACCAACCGCTTTAATCGGTGGAGCAGGCATTCGCCTCAGCCACCTCCCTTCGTTCCTTTCTCATTCAAGATGGCGGGGGACGAATCTGGTACAACGCTCGGTCAGCCTCACCTGGCGAGACAAGACCTCAGTTCTCTGGTAGGTGGCCTTTTAACGGACTCCACAGCTTCGTGGTTTCATGTCGGAGGTCGTCGGAAGCTCTTGTTGCCAAAACGGTTCCTCAAACGGCGGGAAAGAGTCTGAACGTCAACGGTCGCCGGTGCTGCGCCGCCGCTACCCGGCACATGACGGCAGGCCCGGCGGGGCGGACGAGACACCCGCTCCACGAAGATTACACTCTTATTTTACAGGAATTACACTAATGTTTGGGTGTTTTATGTGTTTTTAACGGCGCCGAATTACTCGTCAGCTTTGTTGTATCCCAGTAATGTATCTTAAAGCCCCGTTTCATTTGAATGTTAGCATCTTTTGGTAATTTGAGTTAAAATGTATAAAAATGTAAATGCGGTTCGTAGCGGGGGTGAGAAATCAGAATAATCCCATGTTTTACTGTCTTTTATCTGTTTTATAAAAACAATCGATACCGTTTTAATGAAAATGTGTAGATATTGGGTGAAGGTGCTGCTAACGATGTTCATAAGGACCTTTTTGTGTTTCAATCAGTAGACAAAGTAAATGATAGTAGACAAAAGACAATGCTTTATATTATCAGTTTACAAACTAAAGAAAGGTTTCATCATTATTTAAAAAGAGAGTGCACTTTATGTGAAATGTGAAGCTTAAATCTGGTAGCACTGAGCAGTGTTGGGCAGTAATTAATACCCCAGTAACTAGTAATGCAACTATAAGTCATAATATTACATTTACCCTGACCCTAAAATATAATTAGTTGCATTACTTTTTGTTGGCGCCCTCATACTAAATCCATTATTGTAATAAACTAGCTTGAAAGATGGAAACTCTTACATTCAGCAGCTGGAAATATTCACATTACTTTGATTTTAACCAACAAAACTGGATTTTAAGTCTGAATTTTGGGGTGAAGAGGCACAATTATCAGTTTCATGACTAGTATCTAAAAAGTAATATAACTAGTAGTGCAACTAATTACTGCTGGCAGGGAGTTTTATTACTGTGATACTGAAAGAAGCAGCAATAGTCAGAATCTTTGTCCTGTATGTGTATATTTTAATTAATAAGTCAACTAACGCTGGTGTTACATGAACCCATAAATCTCTGTTATATGTTTGCACCGTCAGAATGAGGCAGTGTTTGTGTGTCTGTACTATGGTGGTGTCCTTTTTGTTTCTATTCACATCCAGGATTAAAGGGGGGGAGGGGGGGCACCGCGCTGCTCCACAGTGAAAGCCTGTGTTGTTCTCAGTGTGTGTGTGTGTGTGTGTGGTGAGTCTCTAATGTGAGTTGTTCTCTCTCCACAGGATGTGTCCACCTTGACGCCTCTCTCTCCGGAGATCATCAGCAGACAGGCCACCATCAATATCGGTACGGGACTCTTTGCACACGTCGATCTCGCAGCGTGTTGGACGCGACAAATGAGGACTTGTTTGACTTCTGTCTGCTTCTCTTCTAGGCACCATCGGTCATGTGGCCCACGGAAAGTCCACAGTAGTGAAGGCCATCTCTGGTGTTCACACCGTCAGGTTCAAGAACGAGCTGGAGAGAAACATCACCATCAAGCTAGGATATGCCAACGCTAAGGTAAGTGGCTCCGGGGATAGGTTTTTATTTCCCTTTTATGAGCTGGAATACATTAAAAGTAACTGGATACTTTGATGTTTTTGCCTCTTTTTAAAGGTCTATAAGCTGGATGACCCCAGCTGTCCCAGGCCAGAGTGCTACAGGTCGTGTGGCAGCAGCACTCCTGATGAGTTTCCCTCAGACATCGCCGGCACCAAGGGCAACTTCAAACTGGTCAGGTAAGACTGAAGAGAGAGAGAGGGAGAGAGAGGGTGGGTGGTCCTGTCCCAAACACACAGGTTAAGGTGCTTTTGTTAAAGAAATGACTGTTTGTTCTGTTTCTCTCAGACACGTGTCATTTGTCGACTGTCCCGGTCACGACATTTTGATGGCAACCATGTTGAACGGAGCCGCCGTCATGGATGCAGCCCTCCTGCTTATCGGTGAGTCTCCTGATTCCTTTACTCCCCACCAGCAGGACAAACTCTGGTTCTTTACATTTGTGTGTCGTTTACTCCCCGGCGTCAATCCTGACCGTTTGTTCTCGCCTCTGTCTGCCAGCGGGGAACGAGTCGTGTCCTCAGCCCCAGACGTCCGAGCACCTGGCTGCCATAGAGATCATGAAGCTGAAGCACATCCTCATCCTGCAGAACAAGATCGACCTGGTGAAGGAGAGCCAGGCCAAAGAGCAGTACGAGCAGATTCTCGCCTTCGTACAGGGTGAGACGTGAAACTACTCTACACCTCTTTTATCTCAACACAAACAATCCTCTACACCAAACACTTTCCACGGTATTGACCGGACGTCGTGTGTCACGTTTCTCCCGCAGGCACAGTGGCCGAGGGCGCTCCCATCATTCCTATCTCGGCACAGCTGAAGTACAACATCGAGGTGGTTTGTGAGTACATCGTCAAAAAGATCCCAGTGCCCATCAGAGACTTCATCTCCGAGCCCAGACTCATCGGTAAGAACCACACACACACTCACTAACCTGTGTGTTTTCTGTCAGCAGAGTTTAATTGTACTAAATTAAACTCTGTGAACACCTTCTGTGTTTCAGTCATCAGATCTTTTGACGTGAACAAGCCCGGCTGTGAAGTCGATGACTTGAAAGGAGGTGTGGCAGGAGGAAGTATCCTGAAGGGTGTGCTCAAGGTGAGAGTTTGTCTTTTTACTTCTACAGACAAAACACATTCACAACTGCTCAAACTCAGTTCCTCTCATTTAGAAAGTGCACGTGGCTTCTGGGTCAAAGTTGAAATCAGAAGTTGGGGGAAATTATTGATTTATATAATAAATTGTGTGATTTTTGATTATTTTTGGCTGTTGAAGGTGTAAATAGCAGCTTTTCTAGAGGCCTTCCACCAAGCCTGGTTAGGTTATGTGTCTGCTGTACTCATTTATCTCGAGTGGGAATGAATCCCGACGGTCTCATGTGTGACTCGTATAGTAAAGAAACCTTACAGAGTCCGGAGCTAGTGATCGACAGCTTGGCTCAGCGAGCTGTAGCTGACAATAAGCCTGCTTTAAAGGGCCAGTGTAACATTTAGGAGGCTCTATTAGGAGGAATGGAATATAATATCAGACTGAGCTGTTATCTACAGAGAGAGAGCAGGTCCTCTTCTACAACAGAAAGTAACTTGTATATAAATCTGGTACAAATAATCTCTGGTCTTTGCTTTAGATTAAGGTTTATGTACCTGCTGCCTGATGTAATCATTTAATAAAGAGGTCACCTGTTTGTGTTTTACACAGAATTAGTGCAGATACATGCACGTGTATCTATGTGACCAACTGATATTGACTAAATGATTATAAACTTATAAACACAGCCTTTATGGTCGCTCTAACCTGTCCTCCTCCTCTTCCTCCTCTCTGTGCGACCTCCAGGTGGGTCAAGAGATCGAGGTGCGGCCAGGTATCGTGTCCAAAGACCAGGAGGGAAAGCTCATGTGCAAACCCATCTTCTCCAAGATCGTGTCTCTGTTTGCCGAGCACAACGACCTGCAGTACGCCGCGCCCGGAGGCCTTATCGGTACGCACACACTCCCACAGGAACACGATGGAACCAGGTTTCCTTTGTGCTGTCAGTCCGTTTAAAGGTTGACATGTGGCACCAACAATAGTACGCTCTGTTTGTGTGCAGGTGTGGGCACTAAGATCGACCCGACGCTGTGCCGGGCGGATCGTATGGTCGGTCAGGTGCTGGGCGCCGTCGGAGCGCTGCCAGAGATCTTTACTGAGTTGGAGATCTCCTACTTCCTGCTGAGGAGGCTGCTGGGAGTCCGCACAGAGGGAGACAAGAAGGCTGCCAAGGTGAGACATTGTGGGGAATGTAGTCCAAGGAAAACTGGATCCTGGAAATATCTTAAACTCACCTTACGTCTCCGGGATGTTCACACAGTCCTCTCGTATTCACAGTGAGACTCATCGTGAACTGTTTCTTTGTTTGGGATCAACAGTGTCGTGACGGCTTCCTTTTTCTCTCTTCGTGTCCCCGCAGGTCCAGAAGCTGTCCAAGAACGAGGTGCTGATGGTGAACATCGGCTCGTTGTCGACAGGCGGACGCGTCAGCGCCGTCAAGGCCGATCTGGCCAAGATCGTCCTCACCAACCCGGTGTGCACAGAGGTCGGGGAGAAGATCGCTCTGAGTCGACGTGTGGAGAAACATTGGCGGTAAGAATCCACTAAAGAGTAAAAACTGAACTTTAGAGAGACTTTTAAACGGCAATTATTTACCTTTTTTTTAGATTTTAATATTCTTACGTGAAAGTTTTCAGGGAAATCATGTTTATTTTAGTGCACTTTATTGTTGGCAGATTGCTGCTAATTCAATCAGCTGCCAGCACAACCCCAACTGTACAACTGTACAAGTATCATGATGTCAGTTAGATCAATTAAGTCCTATTAAGCTCCTTTCTAGCTCTGATGTCCTCTGGCTGCTCTGCTTCAGTTTCCAGTGATCTTTATTTTTAGTTTCATGGTCGGATAGTTTCACCCGTCCACCAGTAAACTCCAGGAATCCTCCCAGTTGTGGTGGAGAAGCTGCAGAACACCAGAGGGAATAAAGGAAAATGTACTCATTTTGTTTTTCTTCCTCCCTTCAGTCTGATTGGATGGGGACAGATCAGGAGGGGAGTGACCATCACACCCACAGTGGACGACGACTGAGGAGAGAGAGAGAGAGAGAGAGAGAGAGAGAGAGAGGATCCCGTCAGCTGGACATCACAACCATCACACTCTTCTTGGCTTTTTGTTTTTATTTTTTAGTGTTTATTATTTTATAATTTTTTTTTCCCACAAGGAGGAAGGAAGCGACCAGAACAGGACGTCAGTGGTTTAAAGATACTTCCTCCCTCTGCTCTTGTTTTCCTCAGCAGCAGCATGTGAAGGTCAGAGGTCAAGTTTTAGCTTCTCTGACCTGTTTCCACTGCAGACGAAGGGGAGCAGAGGAGGAGGAGGAGAAGGAGGACCTCTAGACTATCATTATGATCCTCCAGAGAAGGATCACACGCAGCAGCAGCTTTCAGACCGGAGCTTCATTCAGTACAGACGTGATCCTGTACTGTCCACAGATTTAACTCAGATCTAATAAAATACATTTGGAAGAAATGTGCTCGTCTTTGTGTCGGCTTTCATTTACGTTACAACGCGTTTTCATGAGTTTGAAGAGTTTTAACTGATGTAAAACAAACAACAATGGTTAGTTGATTCATTTAGAGACAGAAAACAATAAGGAACACATTATTTTGGCTAATAGTTTTATTGTTTTTAAGTAATTCTTGAAGTAAAAAGTATCAAACGTTTACTTGGTTCCAGCTCAATCTGTGGGAAATGGTGAACAGTGATTTGTTATCTTGGGCAAACATGTTCATTTACGTTATTATCTTGATCAAATAATGGGATTACTTTAGAAAATAATCAGTACTCGTGCACCCTGGTTCTTTTTCTACATACATTTTAATGTTATTAATGTTATTTTATGTATTTCTCATGATTTTATTGTGATATGTTACTATGAACCAACTGTAATTAATCCTTCATCCACCACTGAAGTACAAAATATGAAGAATAATAATCACACCTCCTTTTATATTTAATGTTTTTGCCTATTTAAAGATTTTCTGGTGCATTGTTTTAGTTATTAGGTTCATCGTACATTTATTCTGAAAATACGGTGAATAAAATCCTACAAAGCTCCACGTTGGACACGTTTCCTTCAAAATAAAGGTACTAAGAGTAAAGTGAAGAACAATGTTGAGATACTTTAGTATTTTAATTTTATCCTATTTAATACTTTAATGGACTTTTTAATCCGCCACATGTATTTGATAACTTCAGTTCCAGATTCTGATGAATAATAATAATAAATTAAAGCTGCAAGCAGCATTGAGCGGGACCTCGTACACTCCATGCAACTCGGGGTGCGCTGCCACAACACGAAAATGTCACGTAAATCAGCTCAAAATCGCCACGCAGCGCTTACCACCTGTTGCCGGAAGGTGGCGCTATCACTATGTCTTAATATTGTCATGTAGACAAGTTCAGGGCGGGACTGTTGTAACACATGTGAAGTTTCATTGAGATTGGACCACGTACGCTGAAGTTACGAGGACGTGTTCAGGGCGAGACTGTTACAGAATATATGAAGTTCACTGGAGATTGGACATTGCACACTGAAGTTATGAGTGGCATTTCATGGCGAATCCGCTGAATTTGACAAGTCGTCACTGGCACGGTCATTTCACGTAACGCAGCTCAAAATCGCCACGCAGCGCTTACTTCCTGTTGCCAGTAGGTGGCGCTATCACTATGTCTGAATATTGTCATGTGACGTGTTCAGGGTGGGACTTATCAAACACGTGAAGTTTCATTGAGATTGGATCATGTAGGCTGAAGTTATGAGGACGTGTTCAGGGTGGGACTGTACACTGAAGTTGAGTACTATCTGTTTATGGTGACTGGTCGAAATTCAACGCAACGCCACGGGCACGCCGTTTGACGGAATGTCGTAAATAGCACAACTTTAAATCATGAATGTCTTTAGATTGCGCTGATTAAATCTGAAGTAGATCCGATAAATTCCCTAGGAGGAGTTCGTTCAAATACAACGCGAAAAATCACAGAAAATAAGCAAAAAACTCAAAATGGCTGACTTTGATGCCACGCCACGGACACACCCTTCAACGTACATGCACAAATAGCACAACTTTTAATCAGGACCATTTTTTGACTGTACTCACAAATTTTGAAGCAGATCTGATAAATGCCCTAGGAGGAGTTCGTTCAAATAAAACGCGAAAAGTTCGTCGAAAGTGAAAAAGAAAATCAAAATGGCCGACTTCCTGTGGGGTGTGGGGTATTGGTCCAAGAGGCTTTTTTGTACGTCCCAGCATGTTACACGTGCCTACCGAGTTTCGTACATATCGGTGAAACGTGGCGCCGGGGCTTCTGTTTTTTTATCCTGTAGGGGGCGCTACACAAATGACGAACATGATTTTTGGTATGTGAGCTTCAGGCACTACTCTACACGTGCCCTGTGAATTTCATATTCATAACTATTACGGTATTCGCACAGTGATTTTTCATTCCAAAAGAGTGCCACCTAGTGGCGCATTTTGTTTTTCCTTTTTAAGGGAGCCTCAGGGAGCCAGGGGGAAGCATCATACCAAGTTTCATCTTAATCACATATACCGTTGTAGAGATATAAACTTCTTCATTTTAAAGAGCGCCACCTAGTGGCAATGGCCTGAAATTGTGCACGATGCTTAAGGAAGACATGTGGAACTTTGGACCCAAGTTTGGTGTCAATCGGACATACCAATGTGGAGAAATGGTCCACTTCCTTTTTTGACGAAAAATCTACAGGAAGTTGGAATTTTATAGCGTGCTTATTTTTTTAAATTTCAAAAATGTTCAAATTAGCCTTTTTGCCAGGGCGGTCCCCAGGTAGTAGGTGAAAAATTTCATGCGAATCAAAAAAAGAGTGTAGCAGGAACACTTAAAAGTAGTTTATGGACATTTTGCGCTCTAGAAAAAAAAAATTCTAGGCGGAAGTGGGCGGGGCTTATATGGGGAGATTCAACTCCATTCACCGAACACGTGGATGTAAGTTTTTTGAATGTGCGACAAACTATGCAGAAGTTATTAGCCTAAACGCATTTTTTATGATAGTAGCGCCACCTAGTGGCAGACCCGAAAGCGACGCATGTAATATCCCCATTTTCACCAGGCCTGACCACTTTGCCAAATAAAATTGACTTTTCGTAGATGTTCAGGGGGCAAAAATGCAGTCAATAGGGGCTAAAAATAATAGGTAAGAAGAAGAAGAAACATTGCAAATACAATAGGGACCTCCAGCGGTCGCTTGCGAGGTCCCTAAATATAAGAAAGCACTGAAGAGCTGCAGGCTGATGCCGATGTTTACTGAGGGTGGCGCACTTCCGGGATGATCCACCTGACGAGCACGAGACGTGACGTCACCCAGGTGCGTTAGAGTGAGCAGTTTCAGGTAAAAAGAGGAAGCTGCAGGCGTTAGGTAGTTAGTTAGCTCTGAGTGTGTTTGTTGAGAGTCAGTGGTTGTTTTTATCTCTTTATCTGCAAACAAACGGACCGTGAACGCATCGCGATAAAGAATCAGGTTTTTACTGATTCTTCCATTTGGAGCTCAAACTGTTCACATGGAGTCTGCAGGTAAGATCTTCCTGCTGAATCTGCACACACACACACACACACACACACACACACACACACACACACTGATTTCTTCCTCTAAAGGACAACCAAGTACTCAAGTATAAATCTGAGGTACTTGAACTTCACCTGAGTGCTTTCTGCTTCCACTACTCCTCAGAGGGAAATACTGTACATTGTACTTTTACTTTTTACACACTAAACATATAAAGAGTTGATACAAATACAGCTGGAACCATTAATCGATTGATCAATTAGTCGACTGATAGAAAATGAACTATGTTTATAGTTTTTTTTTATCATAATTTATCCTGTAAAATTAACATTTAAAAATGTTTAAATGAGGATTTTAAGGTATTAGGAGGTATTTTGTTCACAGGAGATGTTGTAATTATTACATACATTATATATTATTATATATTACATATATTGTAATTAAGGGACTTTCATTTAATTTAAAATATAATACACTTAATTACTTATTTAATTAATTAAATTCAACTTCCTTTAAACTTAAATAAGGTTTCTAATACTAATTAGATACATTTTATATTATTATTTGATGCCAACGCTCATTTTAAACACTTTTTAATGATACATTTACTGTTTACTCTCCTCAGTTTTAATTAACTTTGATTCATTTAATTCTGCTGTTTGTTTTTTATCCTCTTTGTCTCTTTATCTCGTCTGTTTCCTTTAATGGAATAACATCTAATATCTCCTCTGTGGATCAATAAAGTCTTACATGTTAGAGAAATACTCTTAATCTTAGACTAACTATTTCTTATTTTAGTGGTTTTACAAGAAGCTGATGTCATTATAAGGAAAAACATTGTCAGCCAGGGGTTATTTATTGGATTATTTAACAATAATTTACCATAAATAAAGCTGTAAACATTGACATTAAAAACCTTTAATTATTAGACTCCAACATTTAAATTATAACATTTAAATGATCAATTAAGCACCATTAAAGGTTAACGGTGACACTGTTTCCTTCCTCTCATTGGTCAGATGGTCAGCGGGGGGGGCGGGACGGCAGCAGTCAGAGGCGCTCCCCCCTCGACGTCATCATGAGCCAGATCCGCAGGAAGCGCACGGCGTCTGACAGGAAGCCGCTGGGACGCCTCCTGTCCTGGACCTCAGACCGGACGGGGATCCCGGAGGACGGAGAGCCGGAGGGCAGAGAGGACAGAGGACAGAGCTCGGGAGGTTGTTTCATTGGAGACGACCCGGTTTAAGTCTCATATCCTAAATCAAACAGATTGTTTTGTAGTTTAAGGAGTTTAAGAGTGTTGCAGAATGTCTCTCTATAATATTATTTACAGAGACTCAACAATTCCCAACAAATTAAGGGAGATAATTTGGTAAATTATTAGTTGTGGTTGTTTATTCGTGTGAAAAGACGACTTAAATTTATCTAAAGTGACATTTTTTCTTTAGCAAATGTTTTATATAAAGTGTCACAGTCATAACAGATTAAAAACATCCACAAAAGACATTAAAAACTTTAATGAATTGATACAAACGTGAGTGCAAGCATTAAAAATATCAATAAATACAAAATCCTAAATATACACAATACCAGAAACAACCCAGTTCAGTCCGGTGAGATTTACTCTAGAGGAACGATAGAGCATCCCATAATCTCAGTGTCCATACTGAGCTATGAGTTTATTACAGAACCACTGAAGGAGAAGAGGAAGATGTTCAGGTTAAGTTGACAGAAGAGGTTGAACGTGTGAAATGCGTGTTTGTGCTTCAGGTGTCGCTGAGTCAGCGGAGAGCGAGCGTGACGTCGGCTGGGGTCGAGTGTGCGTTTTCCTGCAGAGGTTGGGGAAGAGAGCCGACGGCCGCAGCCTCAGCCTGGCTCACTGTGATCTCACTGCCACTGACCTGCTGGAGCTAGGTGCTCACACGTACTCTGATTATTACTCTAATTACTGTAGGTTGATATTTAAATGATCAGAAGCTTCACTTTCTGAGGCAGTGTGTAACATTTAATGTAATATAACATCACCTGAATATAGGAATGATTGTGTTTTTGTTACCTCAGAATGAGTCTAATTTATATTTCAGAGGATTTTCCAACCTGAAAAGAAACATTTTACATTTGGAAGTAAAGTCGAGTACAATTTTAGATTTAAGAAATTTTATTTTGTTTAATTTGAACGGCAAATATATAACAGCTCAAGTAGAGAAGAGACATAAAGTCAGCAGACAGACTAATCACTAATACGTTTTAATAATAACATTACAGTTACCCGCCAAAAAACAATTAGTTACAATATCTGTGATTTAAATATCCAATCACATCCTTTGATTTATTTCTCTAATCATTCTCATTACTTTGATTTTAACAAACTAAACTGGTTTCTGAATTGTAGGGAGAAAGGACACAGTTACCAATTTATAGGGAGCAGAAAGGTAATATAACTAGTAGTGTAACTAGTTACCGTTGGCAGGGAGTAATATGTAAAGTAATAATATTACTTTAATGTCAGTCAGACAGCACTTCCATGTAGTTTGCTAACATGGTTTTCCACCATACGATATGCATCAGCGACGTTGCTCCAGTTTCTCCCTCGGCTGGAGGAGTTGGACGTCTCCTGGAACGAGCTGATTGGCGGGTGTCTGAAGGCGCTGACCTCTCACCTCCAGCACGTGGGCGGGATCCGAGCGCTGAGGCTCTGCAGCTGCAGGTTGAACGCCGATGACGTCACCGCTCTGGGTTGGTCGTTATTCCGGTTTCGATCAGAAAACCTGAAAAGCTACGAGCGGATCTTCGTGTCAGAGGTCGGTGGTATTAAAGGCGTCTGTGTGTTTGTGTAGGTGAAGCTCTCGGCTGCGTGCCTCTCTTAGAGATCCTCGATCTGTCCTGGAACGGTGGCGTCGGGGGCGGCGCTCTGCAAGGCCTGCTGGGTAAACTTCACCCACCGCTGAGGGAGCTCCACCTGGTGGCGTGCCAGCTCACCGCGGCCGATGCTACCGTACTGGGTACCCACTTTAACTTATATACTCTCATAAGGAAGGAACTACATCTCCCATAATGCCACAGGATACATCCCCTCTGTCTGTTGTCCCCTGTGTCCGTCCCTCTCAGGAGGAATGGTGTCTGCTCTCCACAGACTCTGCGTGTTGGACGTCTCCTGTAATCCTCAGCTCGCACAGGAAGTTGATGCCGGCGGTTTCAGAGAGCTGGCGTCCTCGCTCGCTCACGCCGCGTCCCTCGCCGTGCTTCGGTTACAGGCGTGCGGTCTGACGACGGACAGCCTCGACGCTCTCGGTAGGAGATGTTTGTTGGTACAGCTGGTCCTGATGCTGCAGATGTGTTGTTTCCTGTTGATGTTTGAGTTGTGTGTTGATGTGCTGCAGGTGGTTCGCTCCGCTGCCTCCCCGCAGTGCGAGAGTTGGACCTGTCCTGTAACAAAAGTCTGGCTGGAGGTCTGGAACGCCTCGCCCCACACCTGGCTCACCTCACACACCTGGAGAGCCTCGACCTTCACCTCTGCTGTCTCACACACACGGACCTGGAAGCCCTGAGTGAGTCTCTGTTTCATATATGTGTGTGTGTGTGTGTGAAGCCTCAGCAGCAGTCATGTGACTCGTTGTCTCCAGTCCAGGTGCTTCCCTCGCTGACGGCGCTCACGGAGCTCGACGTGTCGTCCAATAAGGAGGCAGGGGGCGCGGTCCACTCGCTGGTCTCCGCCCTCCCTCTGACACAGATGAGGCGTCTGCCGCTCAACAGCTGCAGCCTGAACGAGGAGTCCTTCACTGCTCTCGGTACGCTCATACTGATACTGATACTGCTCGGACTACAACTACCAGCAGCACTAATACCACTGACACTGGAACTACAACTACTATAAGTAGGCTTGTTTATACTGCAGGGGTAGAAGTATTCAGATTGTCCAATGTAAACATACTAAAAATGTATTTAAACTCAAAAGTAAAAGTCCCTGTGATGGTTATATTGTTATACATTATATTAATGGATTATTATTACTGATGAATTCATTCATACTTTAATAGTTGGTAAAGATGGAGCTAATTCTAACCATTACTTTTACCATTAATTACATCGTAAAAAGTGAAATATTTCCTTCTAAAACTGAAGTTACTAACCCTAAAATTGTACTGTTGTTGTTCTTCAGTACTTCTGAAGTAATTATAAACCATTTTACAACCCAAATAAACCATTTTTATTTCATTTTAAATACTAGTGACGCCAAAATAAAAGCAAACTACCAACAAAAGGAAAAGATGAAGCAGATGATTGGCCAAACTTAAGAAAAGGAACGGATTTAATCATTTTCTAATCATTGTTTTGTTGTTTTTTTCAAAGGTATATCTGGTAGATGTGTGAAATGATTCAATCGTTAGATGAATTGTTTGAAACCTGATGACAGAAATGTTGCATTTTCAGTAAACTTGTAATTAGTAATTAATAATAGTAAATGAAGGTTTTCTATTTATATTTTACAGATTTTAACTGTGATTCAAACAAAAATTAGTAAAAATGTGGCTTTTGTGACTGTTGGGTCGAGTAGGTTATGTACCTGAGATGTCCTCACTGATTGTGTGTGTGTGTGTGTGTGTGTGTGTGTGTGTGTCTGTGTGTGTGTGTGTGTCTCTCAGCTCTGGCCGCGCCGTACCTCCGCAGTGTGGATGTTTCCTGGTGTAAGGTGGTCGGCGGCCGCTTGGCGCTGCTCCTGGATGCTTTGCAGCCGTCGGTCGTCCTGGAGCTCCGCCTCAGCAGCTGTGAGCTCACCACAGACGACCTGCGTCACCTAGGTAACACACACACACACACACACACACACACACACACACACACACACACACACACACACACACACACACACACAGTAAAGAAACAGTTCTCTGTGGTTCCCCCGTGCAGCCGCCGTGTGCAGACGTGGCTGGCTGTCCTCCCTGCGGGTGTTGGATCTGTCCTACAACGGCTCGGTAGGTGACGCTGGCTGGTCTGCGCTGTTCGCAGCAGGAGGCCTGGGCTCGCTGGAGGACGTTGACCTCAGCCTACGACCTTTGACCTCTGCACCCTGCTCAGCCTGGCTGCCGGCGCTGGTCTGCGCTCTGCCTCAGCTGCCCGCGCTGGCTCGCCTGGCGGCGCAGCGGTGGACAGTCGGCTCTCAGGACAGAGAGCAGCTGAGCCACCGCCTGAGGAAGAGGAGCGTCCTGCTGGAGTGGGATACGGACGCAGCGTCATCATTCAGGGCGACCAATCAGGAGAGCCCAGAGGAGTAGGATTCAATGTCCTGAGGTTCCTGAAGGCATCATGTGTTACTAATGAAGGACACCTGAATTAAAAATCATCACTGCACTTTGTACCAGGAGACGTTAACGAGAGAAACAAATAGTTCTATTCTTAAACTAAGATTATTTTTTCTGGCTTTTTATTGCCTTTATTTCATAGAGATTATACATTTGAGGACATTTTTGTTTGGTATTTTTTAACAGTTTCAAGTAAAAAACCAACAAATAACGACGTCCAGAACAAATGTGCTGATCTGTAACTAAGGAAGGAATAAATTCTTGTTTACTTTGTAATTAAAATACATTTTACAGAGTTATGGTCTCTGATCTGAGAACAATCTTTAACTGTAGATCAATATTCATATTCCTGTTGCTCTTTCATAAAACATAATTTCTACTGTTAATTATTTGGTTAAACAGAATGTTTATGATGTGCTTTAAATTAACATAAAGATTTAAATATGTTTCTGATAAACTCTTCATACAGCTGTTTTATAGAATATGATGAAGAACTTATGGAATACTTGAATGGTCCAACATGAATACACAAGTTACTCTTAAATCTTTAATTAAAAAACAAAGTTTCAAGACTTCTTTCTTTGGGAATATTTGCATTCTTTTATTTACTTTTATACTTTTGACGTGTGTATTTGTTTCAGTCCGTCTTTAAGTCTCGGTCTGTTGGGATTCTGGGTAATGTGAGGAGGTTAAAGAGACTCTAGCAGGGCTGCAGGGGAACAAGCTGCCGACTCTCAACGTATGGTGGAAAGGTGGAGTCGGGGCTGGAGGCGTGGTCTGTCGCAGTGTCGGAGGTGCGGGATGTGTCGGTACCGGAGCTGTGATAGTGTCTCCTCAAACTGTTGAAGACCTCAGAGAGAAACACCCGACCGTCCACCTCGTAGGCGCTAACGTCCGTCTGCTCCGGAGGCAGCCGGCCGCTGGCGACCAGCTCTCTGAAGGCCTGAAGGAACGGGTGCGTTAAAGTTAAAGTGTACGATGTGAGACTGTGAATCTGTTACAGCTCAGAGAGGTGTCACCTGACAGACGGGCTCCTCCAGGTGGTTTCCCCAGATGTAGACGTGGTTCAGAGTTGTGTTAACGCTCATAGCCTGAGCCAAAGACAGCAGACCCTCCGTCCGGATGTTGTTACTGCTGACAGACAGCCTGACAGACAGACAGACAGACAGACAGACAGACAGACAGACAGGGACAGTGTTTGT